ATTTTCTTGTTTGAGAAGAATCTGGTCTGTCATCTTTTCTGATTGTTCACTTCTTCACTAAGTTATAGATCAGAAGCCATTTTCTCATTTTTCTTCTGCTTTAAATTGCAATTGGATTGGTATTGCTGTTTATATTTATATATACACTACCATTCAAAAGGGGTCGGTAAGATTTTTATTAATTTTGGACAAAGTCACCAAGGCTGCATTAATTTGATTAAAAATACAATTTAAAAGAACCGTTTTCTATTTGAATATATTTTGACAATGTAATGTATTCCAGTGATGAATTATTAACAGTCACGACTCTAGTCTTCAGTGTCACATGATCCTTCAGAAAATATTCTCAAATGCTAATTTGGTGCTCAGAAAAGATATTATATTATTATCAATCTTGAAAATGTAAAAAAAAAACGCTGCTGAATGTTTTTGTGGAAACCGAGGCAATTTCTTCAGGATTTTTCGATGAATAGAAAGTAGATAAGCATTGATTTGAAACAGAAATCTTTGTAATATTGTAAATGTACTATTTTTGTATGTGTCCTTGCAGAATAAAAGTATTTTTATTCAAATGAATAAAAGTGTTTCAAAAAATCTTACTGAACCCACATTTTTAATAGTAGTGTATATATAAAAATATCTGGAATTTAATTACATTTTTTAAAAACAATTTTACTTCTCTTTCATCATATGCGTCTCATTTCATCCTCAGCCGTCTCCCATTGTCATGGAACAAATCAACTGTACTCAAACCCTAGGACCGCCCACAGATGAACCCCAGTCCAATCCTGAGCCGGCAGACTCTGAAACGACCAATGAGTGTGAGGACCCTCCTCCACCAGCACAAGAGGAAGTTCCGCATCTTACAGATGCATCTACTACATAAAGACAAGACTCAAAGGATGCTACTTTCTTTTTCATTTTTTGAAGTCAGTTATATATCTGACCATACATGTAATAGTCTTGAGGAGTATGAACATCTCAGTGCACTTGTTTTAAGCCTTTGAAATTGTACAGTCCTTTGAATCGAAGAAGGAGGAGACAACAACATCTGCTGTGCTTCAGCCAACTTGCTTCAAGTTCACATTTGATGGCATTAGGAGGGCACAGATGGATCGCTTTTATCCTCTTCACAAGGATCTCAACTCTGTGTTATTTTTGTTCTCCCTCCTTGTTTTTTGTAAATTAACATTCTCTCAGTAAATGAAACAAAGTGCAGCTAGACATTTGAAAACAAATGTCAAGAAAATTCTAGACAGCTCACTGAAAATATTTCTGTTTGGCTTCCAGTTGATAATGAATTACTGACGGGTTGTGTCCTTGTCGTAACATCCTTTAAAATACGGTGCTAATAAGGACCGAATGAACCAAAGGCTTTGGGAATAATGATTTATTCGTTTCATCCTGAGTTTTGAGATACAAATGCTGTGGGTTGATAAGATTGTTAATCGTTTATCGTATCACAGTACGCTGTATAAATAAGAGCAGTACTGTTATACAACACATAATTTAACAAAAACGTCCTTTTTGGTTTGGAATGTGATTTCAGCTTTAGTTGCATTGAAATAGATCATATTCATATGCTCATGGCTTATTGAAAGCATTGTATTTAGACTGTGCTGTTTACTTGATGGAAGAGATGTTTGAGATTTCAAAAAATAAAAAGTGCAAACATTTTTAAAAGAAGTGCAGTTTTTAAGAAGTTTCCTGCCCAACTATTGAGTTACAGTCCTTCTGTTTCATAGTAGGATTTTTGTATTCATGGTATTTTTTAAAGTTGTTTTTCGGCATAAAGCACTGATATTATTTTCTCTGTATGATTTAACAGTTTTAAGTTACAGTACATCAGGTTTATTTAAGAAGTTTATGTAGCACTGTTGTCTCATTGAAATCTGTTGGACTTGGCTACAGCGTGTTTTGTTTTTATTGGGCCAATGTGATCATGTGGAATAACATGGACAAGTTGTAATCCAGATATTTTGTCCGTATATTAATATTCCTGATGTCTGGAGGTCGTGTGTCAGGGATCTTCAGAGTCATGTATGCTGAAGCTCTCGATTAGAGATCAACATATGCTGTAAAAGTGATTTTGAAAAGTTGTTGAAGAATGCACATATTAAAGGAATAATGCATTATGTTATGTGGACTACTGTTTGTGTTTTAGTGCGTGATCACTTGAGAAATACTCCGGATGTTTACTGGCAAAAATGTATTGTAAAATAATGCATTGTATCATGAGTTCTTTGCATTTTCCTCCCACATTAAAAGGTAAGCGGTAAAGTAGTATAATTGTGGATTATATGTTATCAAATTATGAGTCATAGTGGTTGTGCCTTGGAAATGATACTTCCTGGATTGTGGTTACACCACCAGAGTGCTTGATTCACTCTTTCATCTGGTTCACTGGACACACTTCTAACTCCAGGCTATTGTAGAACTGTATGACCAAGCTAAAAACAGCCCACATTTTTATATTGTATAAACTATTGTGTGAAAAATGAACCATACTGAAGTAGTCTGAAGTGGCACGCAGAGAGATGAACAAAAGAAATGACGCTTGTAAAAGAGGTTAAGAGGTCATTGAGCCTTGGGCAAGAGAGCTCTTTTTTTAATGAACAGAAGCTGAATTAACAGCAGTTTCAGAAGACGAAAAAAATGATTATTCTGATCTAAGGTTACTGGATGGATCTGATCTATTGCAATGCCAATAGATGTGTTCTATTCTAATGTTCTACCGTGTTGAAAAAAACCCCAGCATATGCTGGTTAGGTATGTTTTGAAGCATGGCTGCTGGTTTAAACTGGTCATAAACTGGTTTAAGCTGGACTTTAGCTTGTCATGTGCTGGTTCTAAGCTGGTCCTAAGCAACTAGCTCCTGCTCAGGACCATCTCAAACCAGCAGCCATGCTTCAAAACATACCTAACCAGGATATGCAGGTTTTTTCAACAGGCTTGTACAACATTATTCAGAAAAAAGCACCAACTTTAAGTTTTCAAAAGAACTGGGTCTAATACTCATCACTGTGATCTAATGCATCACAGTGGAGTACTGTTATATTTCATTAACAACTGCTTGGATTGGAATGTTTCTGAGAGAAGTAGTTCAACACGAACGGACGAAATGCTGAAAAGTTTCTGGTGTTAAACATGTCGCTGACTACGGTCGTTAAATTAGGCTCAACGAAGTTTAGTTATATTGGAACTGCATCAGTACTTACCTAAACTACTTTGTCAGAGCAAAGAAAAGATTACAGCAGAAGAGATGAGCAGAGAAAACAACCTTTCTGTGGCAATCAACCATCAATGTAGCGTTCACAGAAGCAACAAAATATTAAATTTTTTAAAGAACATTTGGGCATTTCTCTAGTTTCTATGTCTGCACTTCAAAATACCAGATTGTTTTATGATCCAAAAACATTTGAATTTAGTAGTTGATGATAGCGGACTGCCGATTTGTACATCGAGGTGGTGACGTGGTAATGTTGTAAACTCTTCCATACAGTGACCAAAAACATACACAATTGAATTCATGTCGCTCATACAGTAGTATATTTGGTGTTATTCCCGGACTATCCTGTCTTCCACTGAGCTAATGCAAATGGAACACGTGAGAACCAGCGGAATTTGACGTCAATGTGAAAAATGGCGAGGTGGATGTCTTATGGACAACATAACATTGAGTAACTGAGTAAATTATCACTTTTAGGCAAACTAGCCACCGTTTTTGTGAAGAATGACAAACAACGTGAAGTAAAACTGAGTATACAGGTTTTATGTTTGTTCATGTAACAGAGCAAACGTCAAGCACTTAAAAGTGCAACAGTACTCATTGAGAGAACCAAAAAAAGCTGTATTTCTTCTGCACTATTTACAATGTACATTTCTACTTAAGACAGTCTGTATTTTCTCAGATTAAAACAATGTATGAAATAAAAATTATGATCCAACAGAATTGTGCCACATGAATTTAGACAAAAACTTAAAAAAGATAAGCAGTACCTTTGACATTTAGTAGTGATGAGAATGTATCCCCAACTCAAGAAAAACAAGGCTATTTTTTCTAAAACACTACAAAAAATTTTGCTCAAATTTAACATCATTTTCCAGTTAACAGAAGCAAAACAATGTAAAAGATCCCACAATCTGTGCAGAAACTGAAGAAAAACTCCAGAAAGAAATTTACACTTTAAACGTATTCCATACATTAAATAGGTCAACAGGAATTTGACGTCAATGTGAAAAATTGCGAGGTGGATGTCTTATGGACAACATAACATTGAGTAACTGAGTAAATTATCACTTTTAGGCAAACTAGCCACCGTTTTTGTGAATAATGACAAACAACGTGAAGTAAAACTGAGTATACAGGTTTTATGTTTGTTCATGTAACAGAGCAAACGTCAAGCACTTAAAAGTGCAAACAATTCTCATTGAGAGAACCAAAAAAAGCTGTATTTCTTCTGCACTATTTACAATGTACATTTCTACTTAAGACAGTCTGTATTTTCTCAGATTAAAACAATGTATGAAATAAAAATTATGATCCAACAGAATTGTGCCACATGAATTTAGACAAACTTAAAAAAGATAAGCAGTACCTTTGACATTTAGTAGTGATGAGAATGTATCCCCAACTCAAGAAAAACAAGGCTATTTTTTCTAAAACACTACAAAAAATTTTGCTCAAATTTAACATCATTTTCCAGTTAACAGAAGCAAAACAATGTAAAAGATCCCACAATCTGTGCAGAAACTGAAGAAAAACTCCAGAAAGAAATTTACACTTTAAACGTATTCCATACATTAAATAGGTCAACACTTTTTTTTGAGAGAAGCTCTTGATTACATGACTCCTATAAAGAGTCCAGGAAGAACACTAAGACTTTCCAGAGCAACACTTGTGGGGCTCAAACATCCCTGAATTAAAATCACAATAAATAACTAAAAACAAAAATCGTTATGACAAAGACCTTTTTTATAATGTGGACCTGAACTGGCAGTTCCTGTTTATCCTCTGCCAGATTTTTCTCCTGTTTGCTGCATTCCAGCTCTCTGTCCCTCAGCTCCATCTCCCTGACCTCCGCCTGCACCCTCTGCCGCTCTCTTTCCTGCTCCCATTGCACCTGCTCCTGTCGGTGCTGATTCTGGAGCCGCTGGAAGTTGACCAGCTCCTCGCGCTGCTTTTCCAAGTTCCGTTGCTTTTCCTTCTCCAGGAGAGTATTTCCCCGGGGTCGGGACATCAGCTCCTCAATAGTGGCATGCTGTACCTCTATGTGGCTCTCTTGCTGCTGGAAGACGGACTGAGGAGGGAAGGGAACAGATGAAGAAATCAAAGATTCATTTGTGCTGATCTGAATTTACACAGATGAATATTTTATTTAAAACTATCATAGGCAACAGATGAATCATTTGATAACAATGAGAGTGAAGCACAACATGAAATGCAGTTTGGATTACCTGAAGGCTGTAAAGCTTCTGAGACAATTTAGTTACAGTGTCATAAAGCTGTGGAGATAAAAACAGGTTATGTTCAAGTACACAATAGATTATTACACACTCCAGTCACTTTTGTTAGTTTGTGAATACTGGTTGTCATAATAAAAGGTGCAAATGTAATCTGAACAGCATAAAAACAGAAAATAAAAGTTCTTGTAACCTCACAAAACCCCTATAAATATAGCTGCACAACAAATGAAGAAAGATAAAATCCCCCACACACACTAAAACCTGTCCTGGTCAAAACAAAACAAAAAACTACAAAACACAACAAAACAAAACAAAACTCTTTGGGTAACACAGAGTAATCAAATATTAAATCTCACCTCTGCTTTAGGAAAGTCTGAAGGATACGCACTACAGCTTTGTGGAGTTATCTCCTCATCTGCCTAAAGGGTTAAAATCAAGACCATACATTCTGGTTTACGGTCTAGTACCACTGCAAAAAAAAAGTATGATACTTTAGTGTCAGCTCACCGACAGCTCCAGGTTTTCATCATGGTCCGAGTTGGCCCACTGACTTCTGTCTCGCTGTCTTTCCATTAAACTCCCAATACCATCTGCAAACAAGTCCATTAGTCAATGGGAATGAATATGTAACTATTAGACTAGCGTCACGAAAAAGTTGAAAGCTTCTCTTACTTCCTGGCTGCATGCAGGCATCACTGTCAAAGCCTGTTAAAGCACCCAGTCTCTTGGATAGTGGGACCAGATCTATCCCCTCACCAGAGGAAGGAGTTTGGCCCTGCTCACATGTTACCAGCGTGTTCTGTAAAATCTCCACTGAAGAAAGATTGAAAATAGATTACAATCAACCAAGTTTTAGCATTCAAATACACCACATTAATCTAATATACAGATAAGCAGATGTATGGTGTGAGTGAAAAATATTATATAAGGTGTTAAAAAAAAGACACAGTGGATCAGATCAGTTCCTATTCTGTTTTTATTTGCGCTCCATAAGATGAGATGAGATGAGATGTCACACCTAGGAATGTTTGCATGCCATTTATTGTCCCAGTCACTACATTTTTATTACTAGAACAGAAGGATGGCGTTTAATGAATAGAACTTCAAAAAGGTAACAGCAATACAAACATTTTCAATCAATTTTATTAATACAATTTGATCAATTTACCAATACATACATTTTCAGTAACTGTGTAATATCAATAATATTACTACTAATATTACTGATAATATAAAAATAAAAATAAGATGAAATAAAAGTAACCCAAGCCTATACTCTACTCTACAGTGCTGTACTTTTATACTATAAAATATCAATACTGAATATAAACTAGGGCTGGACGATTAATCGAAAAGAAATCGAAACCGAAATTCAGATCCTCTAACAGGTAATTTTCCCATGTCGGTTATTTCGGTTTTTTAATCCTATTAATACTTTCCCCTTAAAAATATACTACTGCGTCGGTGCTAGACGGATGTGTATGACTGTTGCACTCCCGTGTTTTGCACTAAAATAATTTAAACTTTTACACGCAGCGCTGCTCTTCGATGATCAAAACAGTGGATCAATCAGAAGACCCCGGAGGTGGGGCAAGCATTGCGAGCATTTGTTTACAGTAGCAGGTTGACATAACACAAGGGAGTAGGCATTCTGCGCTGTGCTTTTTTAAAACCATTCCTGAGTGCTGCGTCTTGCGGTTTTAGACACAAAGACGTGTTCTGTGTGAACGGCCAGTAAGAACCTAGAGTAAATACACATATAGGGTGACAGGACAAGATCAATAAGATGGTGCCATGCTCTTTCTCTTAATCAGCAGACAGCGGTGTTCTATTTGCATACAATCATTATTTAAAATATTTCTTTACAGGAGATGCAATTTATTATTTTCTACTTTTCACATTGCATTTTTTTATTAATTTATAAGAGATACAAGTTATCTTCTACTTGACAATGACAATATTTAAAATGTATTTTGTTTGCAAGAGATGCTGGTTATTTTCTACTTTTGACATGGCAATATGAATTTATTTTTTTTGCAAAAAATGAAAGTTATTTTCTATTTTCTTTAGGAAACTTGCTTTTTACAATAAAACTGAAATGTGACTTTTTTCACAAGACGTTTTCATTTCAAGCAAGCTTTGACTTCAGTTGTTCGAAATATTCAACAAATAACAACCATAAATAGTTTGTTTTTTTTACATTACAACCATTTAATGAACTATGAGGGCAAAAATAATAATAATAAAAAATAATAATCGTTAAATAATCATAATCGAGGTAAAGTGTTCAAGTAATCGAGGTTTAGATTTTAGGTCAAATTGCCCAGCCCTAATATAAACACAATTTCCCTTTTCTACTGAGCAGTGGAAGTCTCACCATCTTTTACGACTCCAGCGAGGAGTTGTTCTCCCTGCAGGGGCTCTGCTACATTCCCACGCAGCAGATGGCGCTCACTCGGTGAGATGTCAGTAACACCTGTCCCATAGGCCGTGAAGCTGGAGAATAAACTCTGCTTCTCTGTAAGGAGCTGCTCTATCAAGGCATCATGCATACAAAGCTCCTCTACTCAGAAAACACCATTCAAAAAAGAAAGGACAATGTTAAATGTGACAACAGCTCATTGTATAGCAGAGAAAGGAAGACTGAAATCATAAACACAGATACAGAAATATGCATGTTACTTTGAAAGTTCCAGATCCTCTCTGGCAGTTCTTCTGGCTCCTCTTTCTCCTCTTCAGGACAGCTGAAACAAAACCAGAAAACTGTTGTTAGAAATAATCCCAGAAAAATTCTGAAATATTACCCAGATTTCACTAATCTAAACAATTTTAACAAACATTTAGGGAAAAAAAAAAAAGTTAAATGTTTACAAAAATCAATTTTAATGTGCAAGAACTATTATAAATAATTCATACATTGGTTAAAGTCTGTTGTCTGGCACATTTTTAGCCTTTTGATGGACAGGACGTAATCAGCTCACAATCACCCATAAGAAGTGCAATTTGATAATAATTTACTTTTTTTCAGGGCAATATAAACGACAGTTCAAAAGTTTAGGGTCAGTAAGAATTTTTGTTTGAAAGAAATACTTTTATTCAGCAAAGATGCATTAAACTGACCAAAAGTGAGAGTAAAGACATTTATAATGTTAGATTATTAGTAGTGCTGTCAAACGATTAATCATGATTAATCGCATCCAAAATAAAAGTTTTTGTTTACATAATATACAGTATGTGCGTGTACGGTCGATATTTATTATGTATATATAAATACACATAAATGCATGTATATATATTTAAGAAAAATATGTTATGTTTATATATTAAATATATTTATAAATGATATGAATAGAAATATATACATGTAAATATTTTCAAAATATATATAGTAATGTAATATATACACCGTACACACACATATATTATGTAAACAAAAACTTTTATTTTGGATGCAATTCATCGCGATTAATTGCTTGACAGCACTAATTATAAGATTTATAAGAAATACAAGATTTCTATTTTAAAGAAATGCTTTTGAACGGTCTATTCATCAAAGAAACCTGAAAAAAAAAACTGATCAAGGTTTCCACAAAAATGTTAAGTAGGACAACTGTTTCAAACATTGATAAGAAATATTAATATTTCTGAATATTACTGTTTTTACTGTATTTTTTATCAAATAAAGGTGGTGCAAATCAGACTTTAAAATAGGGCTGCAACTAACGATTATTTTGATAATCGATTATTTTTTTCGATTAATCGGATTTTTAAAAATGATTTTATTGACAAAAAAACACTATTCCACATTCTGCCCAATGTCCTTCAAACAAACGTGCCATCTGAATGCTATGAAAACATACAGTGCTTAACAATTTATTAGACCACCTGCCATAATAAAGAGAAAACACATTTTAGGAATTTTAGGAATCTGTCAAAAAATGATTTAAATAAAATTTTTTTTAGTAATTTATTGGGCAAATAAACTTAAAAAACTAAATAGTATTTATTCACATAAAAAAGGCCTCCTATGCCCTTCATAACAGCTTACATTCTTGCTGGCATTGTTTATGTACTTTTTGACTGTAATTGGGTATCTGGAAAAAAAAAAACACTATAAAGCTCTCTGACTTCTTTCATAGATAACAGCAATAATTATATCATAGCATTAGAAATAGCCTACTACTGTTACTAAAGAGCTTACACATATTGGAGGACTAACCCATACAGAAAGCTAAAAAATTATTTTGGTAATTACCAGTACTGTACATTTAGAGCAGCAGTGGCACATGGAACATACATTTGTTTTAATAAATTTAAGCATTGTATATAGTGAATAAAGTTTAAATCTCTGCATTAAAAATTAAAATAATAAAGATGATAAAGACGAATAAAATCACAAACTCAGTTGTATCCAATAGGTAAGAGTAATGTTCTGCAGGAACACGTTCACTTTGATCACAGTCAACGTCTTACTATCATTTCTTTATCCTGTAATAGGCGGTTATGAAGCGTCTGATATTTATATTCAGACAATTACACGCTGTTCTTCTGGATCCTCCTGGCTCAAGTTATCCCCCTTACAGTTCCTACTCTCATAAAATACTCGCAATGCATGTTGACCTTTAAACCTCGATTTAACTTTCAACAACAGATATTTCAGCACAATTAATGTTTTTGTGCTGATTATTAATGGTCTCTCTTTTCCGTCCACGCTCATTCAGTAAAGATTAAAACTTAACACAGACTGTCAGGACGGACCTTTATGCAAAAATGGAAATGCTCGCGTGAATGTGACATTTATACATAAAGAAATGACCGTAAACTGAAAGTTTTTGCGCCGAGTTCGCACACGCATCATCTGCCAAAGTGCCAGGGCAAGGCATTACGCTAATGCATTAGCTTAAAGCGTAAAATAAAGAATTCTCATGTTTTGGGCAGCTTGGATCAAGTAACTCTCCCGCAGCATCTCATTCTGTTTTCTCCACTATTTTTAGATGCATTTTGTCCATAAAAATGCGTAATTCAGTGCTGTAATTGGACGTGCACTGTGGGCAGACCCAACTAATCGATAATGAGAATCGTTCTCGATGATGTTCAAAATCGATAATAATCGATTTTATCGATTAGTTGTTGCAGCCCTACTTCAAAACAAACGTTACCATCTTAAGCAAATTTTTGAACTGTAGTTTATTTAAAAAATAAAAACTGTTTATGAAACGCACCGTTCCACAGCCGTCCAGATGTGTTCTTTCCAGGTTTTGCGCTCCTCTCCGGAGGACGTTTGAAACTCATACATTCCTGGATTGTCTGAGGAGGCTGAGATCAGAAACAAGGCCTTCTCATCGTGAGCCACTTCACGCACGATCAGCTTCAGCAGTGAGATCACCACAGGTTTGCCATCCTACAGGAGCACGTTAGGCAGCTGACATTTAATGAGAATGACAACTGTAAACTAGACATAAACAACATGCCAAATTATTACATTCTGCTCACCAGAGAGGCAAAGGTAAGTCGCTGATCTTTCTCCTGTAACAGCAGCAAAACATCTGACAACAGCAAGACAAGGACATCTAAAGGCATATGAGAGAAATACTGAAATGTCAGCCAGCTATCAAATGAGCAAAGTAAAATTACACCCGGTTGTAAGACTAGTCTGGACATAAAATGCGCTTTAAATCGTGTGAATGAATGAATGAATTTAAACCCGTTGCACCATCTCGGCCTAGTGCTACGTCTGAGACTAAATCTTACGCCTAGTCAGAGGTAGGTGTAAAGTGAAAAGTCATGATTTGCTCGGACATTATTAGTTTTTAGTATCCATGTCTGTTAGTTAATTATTACTGCAGGCGTGAACTGTAATGTTTATGGTCTTTTCGGGCAGGATAAGCAATATCAATCGCGATGCTCTGTGTAGATTATACCACACTACTGACAGTAACTGATCTAATAAAAAATATTTTTTCTGTACAGCATGTAATTATGCAGTAGAATATTACATATGATCTGGGATTATTAAAATAAACTGTACCATTCCATATCTTGCTTGGAAGGACAGTATAAATGCTTGGAAATATTTCACGTCTTTAATTCCATTCATTATTTGAGGCATGCCTGCCATCCAATAATTGCAGTAAGTTTTGTGCTTTGTTACTTTTAGTCAGAAATAAAGTATCAGCTTCCAAATTCTGTCAGTTTTATCACAAAATACAAACGATAAATGTGGTTTTTCAGCCACAGAAAGATGTCAGTAAAACACACAATGTCACGTTAAGTCACATTTACCTCAGGAAAGACATTCATTGCCTACATAAACTCGATAGTCAGCTAGAAAAAAATAACTATAGAGAGAAGCACTGCATTACATTCATTATATTTTACTTATCCTGCCGCCTTTCATTTTTAATGTTTGTTTGAAGAAATCTGTCATGGGAATGTGTAGAGAGACTTCAGATATAAAAACACGGACTTGTTAGAAAATGTTTACTCAATGAAATCATGGCGTGATGACTTCCCTTATTATGTCTTGAGCAATTCAGTTTTATATTAGTAGTTGTAGCCATTGCAGTGTGAATGTAGTCTCAGCTATCACTGAGGGAAAATGCATCAGTGTGGAGTTGCATTGTCTATGCCGGGCGTAGTTGCGCCTGATCGTAGTTTTAGTTGGTGCAGCAGGTGTAAATATTTATCGTAAAGCTGGACGTTGCAAAGCCCAACGTAGGGCTTACACCCAACTTTTTTACGTCTAGCTGGTGCAACTGGCCCCAGATAATTACAGAAAAAACAAAGAACATGGCCTACAGCACAAGAATCCAAGTTGATGGGAAACAAGAAGATGAAAATGCAAATTAAAAGTATATAACATATATAATGTTTTGATTATTTTCTATTAAGTCCATGATATATATGTTATTGGTACAATGATCACCTTTGCTTTTGTTAGATGTTAGCCTCCAGTTGAGAACGCCCTCATGAAGCAGCCTCCTCTCGCCCTGCAGCATGTCCTCTCTGCGGAACACTCTCCCGTGGGTCGTCTTGACCTGGGACTTGGGCTCCAGCTTACTGCTCAAGTCCCTCAGCCGTGCTGCTTTCTCAAACTCATCAACATGGGTATTTACTTGTGAGATGGTGTCTTTCAGCAGTTCCAGACCTTGTACCAGGTTCCTATGCTCTTCTGAGTCAACTGTCAAAAAGAAGCAAATCATGCAACCTCAATGAAGGTGTCTTATGGATGTTTTTTTTAAACACTATTTTCAGCATTGATAATAATAATATACATAATATTTCACAATATTTAATAATAACATTTCACAATATTTTAGTTCTAAAGAACAAAATTCTCTATTTGAAGTAACATTTACATAAAAAAACACAAACTAAAAACAGATCATACTGTTTTCTTGAAAGAAAAACTAAACTAATTAATAAAAATAAAAAAAGTACCTTCAGTGTATTTAATTACACGTTCAAATAAAACTGGATACTTTGTGATGCGCTGTGTTATAAGAAGAATTATCTCTGGTATTCCTAATCTCCGCATGATAGACAGCTGACATATTTTCTGAGAACAGAAAATGGTGTTGCTATCAGAAAGTGAAAGGATTTATTTAATAAAACTTTTTTATTTATTTTTTTTAAATAAAAGAATATTATAAAACTTATAAAAAGTTATTTTAAAACTTGACAACAAAAGTTCAGGTCTTACTCGTATAAAACTCTGGAATTTCTTGCTGTTTTGCATTAAGTCTTTGTAGAAGTTGACTGCATCGGTGTGGTGACTGCAGAACACTCCATAGCAGTGTTGCATTCTGTCTCTTATTTGACCTGAAAACTTCACACACAATCATACATGCAGATCAGACAGTAGTACCACTGCTAAAAGCAAAAGATATTTATAATGCCAAAAGTTAATCAAGAAATGTGAAGGTTATTTACAAATGTAAACGTTTAAAATCAGTTAAGACAGTTATGAACACTGCTTAATTTAATCATACATTACAGTTTGAAAATGTTTGGTGTCAAATTTTTAAAAACTTTTTTCCAAAGAATTCTCTTATGCTCAACATATGCTATATTTATTTGATCAAAAATCAATAATATTGCGAAACATTCATATAACTGCTTTCTATTTTAAAATATTTTACTGATGAATTTTCAGCTGCCATTACTTCAGTCACAGAGGTGTCCTAGCAATGTGGTTCAACACATTAAATTTGAACAACTATGTTCCACTAACATTTTTTTTTCTCTCAAGATTAACACGAATTAAAAACCTTTTAGTAAAAATTTGATATATAATGCAATGGCATTAATAGATTAAGTACAGCTTGAGTATCCAAATACTTTTTGGGGCCATTGTATGGCAACCTAATTTTATGTTAAAACAATAATTCCATTAATTTCAGGAAGCACCTGCTACTTAGCTCAGCTCTGGGAATGTGGACCCAAAGATCATATGAAGGACAATGGCTATAACTGACAGTTTGGTGATCCAAAGAATGCAGCTAGAGAAACAAAAGTCTAATCCATGTTGGTACTTGGTCTTTGTCGTATAACTAACAATTGAGCCTCAAGTCTTTAGATGCATCTGGCATACTGGGAATCTATGCACATCCTACAGCATATATATAATAAAAATACCTGTGTGATAAGAATATCTCCAATACTGTGGATGCAGTAATTCTGGGTACTGCCTGGCTCCAAAGATTCAATTCTTTGCTGTTTAAGGCGGCTGAGGAAAAGCTGATGCAGCTGCAGCAAGTTATCCACCTGTGGAAACAGTCTTTCCAGCTGCATCTCGTCCATTTGCAGGGTCTCACGCAGTTCCCGCACATATACACCCAAAACCAGCTTTAGCATCCGCACATGGTTTATTTCTGTCTGAATCAGCTCTGTCATAATTATGATAACAATCACATATTACTCAAGCGATAAACTTTTCTAAGAAAATGAGAGAAAAAAACCTGTAATGAAAGCCCATACCATGTATTACGTCTTGTCTTTTAATGTGCTCTTTGGAATACTCTTTTAAATATTGCTGGTCAACAGCTAAACTCCAGGTGGGAGCTTCAAAGTCCCGAGCATCTGCTTCCAGATCTTCACGTAGTGCATTATAACACCCATCTGTGTAGAAGAAGAGTAAATATACACTTTCCTTAACATCAACAAACAAGACCTACATCAAGACACATTTAAATCACATAGCTACAGTAACTAAACAGGTCAAATATCCAACCATCAATATTGATGGTGTCAGCAGAGTATGTCGACGGGACATTTGAATCTTCTAGCAAGGGCTTGAATCTCACAGAATCGATTTCTTCCATCTTTTGTTCTGAAAAACAAAAAGACAGCCAGAAGACTATTAAAATGAGCAAGAAAAACTGTTTTTTCTAAATAAACAAATTCTTAAAGGTGAAGCATCTCATTTCTGTGCCACCAAACAGAATCATAAGAATAAAATCTAATGTCATTAAATAATTCTAATATACTGATTTGGTGGCCAAAATCTTTTTTTTGTTGTGCGGTTTTATTTTTTTGTGGGTCCAGTGATGCATTTTTTCACGATTCTTTGATGAATTTAAAGTTCAAAAGAACAGCACTTATTTGAAACAAAATCTTTTGTAACATTATGTAAATGTCTTTACTGTAACTTTTGATCAATTGAATGTGTCCTTGCTGAATAAAAAATATTTTCTTTCCACAAAACAAACAAACAAAAAACGTAATAACCCTAATCTTTTGAACATCAGTTGAGTCAAAGTTGCTGCTTCATGAAAAAATTATTTTAAAGCAGCTGTACCATTACTACAGTTTCTGCACCGAATGCCAGAGCACTGACCTGTGGCTGAAGTGATAACTGGAGATGGTTAAAATCTGGAGGACACAGGTTTATCTGTGCTGTAAGAGGGTCATGCCTGGTATGTCATGGAGCAGATACAGCCAAACGCAGGATGAATAATCTCTGTCTGAGGAAAAGAAAAAAAAAAAGAGCAGAAAATTAGCTTTGGGCCTTTGGATCTGCTACTTAAAAACATTCTGGATCAAATACATATTTAGATGCAATAACATAAGTTCCTTCCTGGTATTCTTACACAGATACAATTCAGAAGTTACTGGGTTTCGAGGATTTAAGAAAGTTGCAATATTTCTTAACTTAAATATTATGAGAAATACATAAAATAGTTAATGTCTTACAATTTTTTCCAAACTGATGGACAAGAAAGTATTTTCTGTTGTAATCGGCAACATGTGACAGTTTAAGCAGGAGTGAGTGAGGACGCAATTGTCATTAAAACTGATGAAAAAAAGAAAGAAAAAACACTCCGAGACCATTATTCATTAAACAAGACATTAGAGCTAAAAGTCATTTAAATAGATCCATATTTACAACCTTTGACCTAAATAAGATGTTCCTCACATTTTGCTTTTAAATCTATGATGGCCTTAAAGGTCTTATGTGACTATGGCTGTGCAAGTGAAGGTGACAGAAGCATGTTTGCCATGAATACACTTCTGGTGAACATATATGATATGATCTGCTTTGGTTTGTCTCCAGCACACGCAAACACTGAAGTAGAAAACTGATCAAGCGAATGCATGAACATTATATGACAAACTGATTTAATGTAATAAAATGTATACGTTGAATCAATACAACATTAGCCGTTTTCATATAAAAGTCAAATGCAAATGCAATGCATCAATAGCGTGCTAGTAGACACAGGCAAGATAAATAAATGGGTGGTGGGGCTACTGTACTAGTCTGGTTCCATACTTGGAAATTAGGATATATATAAAAAAAATAAAAAAAACCTGCTTCTCTGAAACAGCAAACTGGTTTTGGTTTGTCAGATTACTAAGCTCTTGTCAGACAAGGTTAAAGAGCAGAAGGCACATGACTTTGCAGAAAACAGGCTTGATTTCCCCCCCCCCTTTTGCATGGATATTTATTTTTGGATTGTGGTTTTCTTTTCCCCTATTGACAAATTTAGAGGGAAGTAAACTTCTAATAAAAATGCAGATTTGCATAGATAGGCCTAAATAGTAAAAGTTGCCTTATCTGAGATATGAAATGTTTCTTACAGTTTCCAGTATGTAAGGCATAAAACTAAAGTAAACAAACCCACCAGCGAAATGTACACCGGTAGATTATTATATAATTGTATTGCACTACAAAAGTTTGGTGCCAGCCAGTAATTAATACTTTTATTTACCAAGGACACATTAAAATGGATATTTCTTGGCAACAATGCAAAAGTCTGTCACTTTTAAACAATTTCAAATAAATGCTGTCCTTTTGAACTTTCCTTTTATCAAACAGTTTTGAAAAATGTATCACTGTTTTTACATAAATATTACACAGCACAACCGTTTTCAACATTGATAAGAAATTCGTAATAAGAAATTGTATCATATTTCACTTGTGTTTTAGTATTTTTGTATTCTGTGTTTATTGCATCAGATACATGGCTTGGCGAGCATAAAAGACTTTTCAAAAACATTAAAAAAAAATCGTACTGACCCAAAACCTTTGAACGGCAATGCATTTACAGTATATGGTTACAATGTTCCTTTTTTTTTAGGGAGAAAAAAAAAACTACACCTACAGGTAAACACTGTAGTTTTAGATGCTTTGACAGATCACCAGGTTTTTCAGCATTTTAATCACCTTTAAGCATTATTGCAGTCCACCTTAGAAATAGACTTTTGAATTTTCAAAAATTCTATGTAGTTTCTTAATTAATACAAGGTCATAAAGTGGCAAGTATAATTATAAAAGAATTATAAAAATGCTGTTTGAAGTAGTTTTAGATGAAGTACTGAAGGACACTGTAATGTGACTCGTGTCAACTACCCAAAGGCTTCATTCTGAAAATAGCAAAGCAAAAACATGTATAAAGACAAAACAATTCACAGAAAACCCAGAGAAACACGTTGACAAATGTACAACACACTATGAGATTATATTTATACACCAAAGGGTGTGTCCTAACAAAACACTAAAGATGACTCAATACTGTCCGACACATCAAGACAATGACACAGACACAGTAAGGAGTTTCAGATCCAAACAACACATGACCCCACTGACTTTAACTGAATGAAAAAAAGAGAGACTGAGACATTCTTCAAATATCTTCTTTTGTGTCCCACACAAGAAGGAAAGTCATACAGGTTTGGAACAACATGAGGGAGAGTAAATGATGAGAGAATTTACAATTTTCTGTGAACTACCCTACAATTGTAGTTGTCATATTAAACTGTCATAGGAGAAAATGTTTTAACAACAACAACAACTCATAATTAATATATTTAAAATGACTACAGTTGAAAGCACTCTGCTCTATCTTCAAGAAAGTTATGATACATCTCGTGAACACACTAACAAGGCTTAATAGCACTCAAACAACGTGCACACTGCTATTCATACAGTACACATTCATAAAGGCTACCATGTGTAAAGTGCATTAAGGCTAAATGAAAGAGGCAAACCTGAAAAGCGAACCTGCCCATAAACACATGACTTGTGCTCCATTATAAAGAGGAGGATACTGACAAGGATGCACATTTCGTACTCAAATCCAGCTGCACCTTGATGAATTGCGGTTAAAGGGGTCATATGATGTTGCTAAAAATAACATTATTTTGTGTATTTGGTGTAATGCAATGCGTTTATGCGGTTTAAGGTTAAAAAAACATTATTTTCCACATACTGTACATTATTGTTGCTCCTATATGCCCCACCTTTCTGAAACGCATCAATTTTTACAAAGCTCATCAGTCTGAAAAGCAAGGTGTGCTGTGATTGGCCAGCTACCCAGTGCGTTGTGATTGGCCGAATTCCTCAAGCGTGTGACGGAAATGTTACGCCCTTACCATACTGTGATGCCGTGTCCCGGAGCGACGAGACAAAACCAATAAAACCCATTACAAACGAGGCATTTGTTGCATCCAGTGGGGACATAATTACGGATGAATCGGTTGAGATGCTAATCAAATCGCGATTCAATTAGGGGTAGGAGTTTATATGAATGCCTGTCTGAGGGGAACTTACTGTCTTCAGAAAAGTTTAGATGGTATTTTTTCTTTTCATCTTGCCTCTTTATAATGCACATTAAAGTTCATGAGTTCAGCCCTGCTTTGTTTACAGCGGAAACCAAGGAAACGCTTTAAGCGCCACCTGCTGGCAGAGTGAATCTGCGTCTCATTCAGCTCGTCTGCTTTTTCTGTTTCATGCAGATATTTTTTATGTATAGTTTCACAAAACTGAAGTCGAACCATTCTGTTTTTGCTTCAAATTTAGAAATTATTTAGATTAAAAACTGCTCATTTTGCATGTATGCAGCATCTTTGTTTGGATCATGATTAAAATGCAGTGGTTGCCTCTAATTTGAAAAGGAAAGAGCACAGACAAAGCCTTAGTTTGTTTATATGAAGAGATTTATTTGATTTGTGTTACGTATTTATTTGATTTGGGGCTTGTTTTAAAATTTAAATTTAGTTTTATTTTGATTTACATTATATTTAAATTTTGTCATTTAGCAGACGCTTTTATCCAAAGCGACATACAAATGAGGACAATAGAAGCAATCAAAACCAACAAAAGAGCAATAATATGCAAGTGCTATATTAGTATATTATTATAGTGTTACATTTCAATTTCACAAAGAAACGTGCAGCATTTTGCCAAGCAATAATAAAAGGACACATTTAATTTATAATTTGTCTTAAATCTCATTGTTAAAAAAAAAAAAACGCGAATCGAATCGTGAAATCAAAATCGTGAATCGAATGGAATCGTGAGTTGAGTGAATGAATGAATGATGCATTTATATAGCGCTTTATTGTGTATTGTTGTACACCCAAAGCGC